CAGATTATGGGGCGCCAGACAGTTGGATGGATCCTGGACAGGTATGGTTGGAATGCTCATGAAGAAGGTAAGTATAGCTGCCAGGACGTTTATGTTATATATAAAAAAAATTATTAACACATCGCCGTTTCCCACTGAGGCAGGGTGACTCGAAAAAGAAGAAACTTTCATTATTATTCACTCCATCACTGTGTACCCAGAGGCGCGCCTACACTACAATTAAACTGCAACATATTCCCGCCCATCCTTCAGAGTTCCGTGACTGTACTTCCCATTTCCAGGACTCAAGTTCGGCTAACCAGTTTCCCTGAATCCTTCATAAATGTTACTTTGCTCACACTCCAACAGCAGGTCAACTTGTAAAACCCATTTGTCTGCCTTCCACTACAAATTCATTAGTCCTCCAAGCTATTTTCTTTTCTCTCAACCTCTCTAAATGCCCGAACCACCTCAATAACCCCTCCTCAACCCTTTGGATAATACTTTTAGAAATCCCGCACCTCCTAATCTCCAAGCTACGGATTTTCTGCATATTATCCACATCGCGCATTACCATCAGACACGACATCTCCACGGCCTCCAGCCTTCATGGAAAAAGACAAAAATGCAGTATAATGTTATTTTTTATTGACTACATTTTGTCCAGTCACTGGGTTTTATCATGTCAGTAAACAGATCTACCTGAGTCATGGTTCAAAGATCTTGGAGTCATTACTCATCTGTATAACAATATCAACCAGATCCACGGCTTTTACAACATAGCTGGACCGCTGTCCAGGAAAGTTCTTCATCGTTATCCTACACAACATATGCAGATGCCCATCCCGTTCAGGTCCGTCTCAGATCCAACCTCCCCAATATTCTCCATGTGACTCTTGCACTCCTTGCCCAGGTATATCTTTTTATTGACTTGATAATGCCCACTGTGTGGGCGAAACGTAGTCAATAAAGAATCGCATTATACTACATTTCTTTTTTTTTCATCGTATTAGCATTTTATACTATTTATCTCCATGTACATGATGACAACCTGTGCTTGCGGTCGACCTCTGTGGATTTGAATATATTTTTACCGAGGCTTAACTCACTCGTCCCGTCTATTAAATTCACAGGGGAAAAAATTAGTCTACAAGCTCCCAGTTCTAGATGTTTTGATCCACCTCTTAGATAAAAATTTAAAGTTCCCAGTATATAGGAAAATCATTTATGTTTGTTTCAACATCAATTACCATTCTAACCATGAAGGAAGGGTAAAAAGGAATCTTTCTCGCTATCTTATACAAGATTTCCGTGTTTACAGCCCTTATGAGTATCTTTTGACATTGCAGTAAAACTACGGTACCCTAAGGAGTTTGTAGAAAAAAGCTTAGTTGACTTATAAAACTGAACCTAGGTTAACCCCTCAGGTTAAGAATGTGTTAGTTCGCCCATACAAGCAATCTTGAACAATTTAAGGATGTTTAAAAGTATTTTGACAAAGAATTCCCCCTAAAATCAGCATGGACGTCGGACAGACTTGTAAGGCCCTTCATGTTAGGTTAGCACAAGACCGATACCTGATCCGAAAAGCAAAAGAATCTAATGCCATATTCGATCTCTCACTAGCTTGCAGTAACCCTACAAAGTGGTCTAGAGTCAAAAGTTTAATTCCCAGCTCATCTTGGCTGGAAAAAAATATCTTAGACTGGGCAATTATAGAACACGATAACCTTTCACCATATAATAATAGATAAGGATTGTTCATACTTGATTTATTTATACTTTAAGCTGTGTATAACCTTAATCCAGATTAGTATATGAATGCTTTAGACTGTCTTAAATTGATGTTTTGGTGTCTGCTCACCTGCTAACTCTGTGTTAGATCACTGTCTCCAAAAGAGTTATGCTGAGTATTTCATAGTTTATAGAGCTACAGTACCTAAATCTGGAGAGAACACCGTAGGGCCCTGTGAGATGAGTTAGGGACCAATTTTTATGCTAGTATCCACTGTCCATTCTCTTTAACTCCTGTTTTCTGGATAGATAACTGTGAAGCAATGTATACCATGTTTAGCCTGTTATCAAACGGATTAAAAATTGGATATCTATATAAATTAATAATTCGTTGTTATTTAGATAACATGATTTTAATAATGAGAAATTTCAATAGTCATGGAAGTTTCTATTAAACTGAATGAGGTTTTCTCCTATAAATTTCGTTAACTAAAAAATAAATAATTTTGATTGCAAACATAAACCAAGAATTTTCTGTTAAGTACATTTGATTTAGGTAACTAATTCGACAGTTATATGTATATATATGTCGTGCCGAATAGATCAAACTTACTATTTTGGATTAAATGTCAACGTCTTCTTGCCGAATAAGGGAACTAAAAATTTGTATATGCAAAAATTTCGCAAAAAATCATCCTGAACCTAACAAAAAAATATATTTCAATGAGTTTCTTTATTATTAAATTATTGTAAACTTACCTAAAATATATTTAATTGCATTAGACTAAATTAAATTGCGCTTGTTATAATAAGGTTAGGTAAGTTTTCTAAGGTCCTTTTGGTACATAATTATTAATTTTTGCATTAATGTAAATGAAATAAAAATATATCTTTAAACTGATAGGAGAAAATTTTAGGAAGGACTTAATTTTAAACGAGTTCTTGTTAATTGACCAATTTTACCTATTCGTCACAACATATATATATATATATATATATATATTATATATATATATATATATATATATATATATATATATATATATATATATATATATATATATATATATAATATATATATATATATATATATATATATATATATATATATATATATATATATATATATATATATATATATATATATATATATATATATATATATTATATGTATATATGTATATAAATTAATCATGGACATCCTTAGGAAGCAGACATCGCTCTAGGTCCGTTTGGCACGAGCACAGATCGAGCTGAGGTGGTAGACTTCACTACTCCTATATGGATAGATGAATGGAGAATCCTTGCGGCAAAAGGTCGCCCGGAGGTCAACCCGTGGGGATTCTTGTTCCCTCTGACAGCATATGTGTGGATGGGCATTCTGGGGTCGCTAATGATGCTGCCTACTATTATGTTTCTTTCCTCATCATTTTTCATCGAGAAATTGACACAAAGCATTTGGATGAGTTACACCTTCAGTTTTCTACGCATCTTGCTTCAACAGGGTAAATAGTTTCTTTATTCAGAATGTTTATTAATGCCTTTCATGCAGTTTTTAAATTGTGGGATCTTTGACCATTTCTGAATATACAATATGAAATTTAATAGGCTTATTTGATTTCATATAGCTATTATTGACTTTGCATCAGACTTTAATGTGTCTTTGGTGAGATGGTGGTGGGAGCGAGTGTTACTGGTGGTGTGGATGATGGTAACACTGGTGGTGACCAGAAGTTATTCCAGCAATCTCATGGCTCTCCTGGCTGTCAGATATATCTCTCAACCCTTCCAGTCTCTTAGGAACGTCCTGGAACATCCATCTGTAGCCATGATATGGCAGAAAAATTCTGTGAACGTCCAATATATACGTGTACGTCTTAGATAAGTTAATAAGTTTTTACAAGATAATGAGATAAATAATATTAAACATTTTCCAGCATGTTAGTGATCTCATGTGTTTATATATTCTAACATTTTTAGTACATAAGTGAAAATGTTTTTATAAGTAATTAGCAGTAGGTCACTCTACATTTCTTTAGGGCTATCCTAGGATGTAGAGTGACCTATTGAGGTCGTAACCCGCCTGGGTACAGTGGTACAAGGTACACATAGGTGGTTCTAACATGTTGATTGCAACTAGTTTAGTGGTTTAATGAATCAGGTTGTTGGTAATATTATGATGATAATGATATTAGCGGATGATAGCTGATAATATTGACAGGAATGGCATTAAAATTAAGAATAGCCTAGTTATTATGAGAAAGGAAGCCTGAATAGGAGAATTTACGCAGGCATATTAACTGACACAGAATATTTCCTGAATATTCTGGAAGGTTCTGCTACACCGGTTGGCAAATGGGGGATTTTTTTTCCTATTTCATTAGTTAGACATGACCTGTTCCCAGCAGTTAGAAGCTTAGGGTTGGCTATTAACTATCTCCTAGTATTTTACCTCATGGTATGTGCAGTCTGTGAGACCTACTCCATCCGACTCCATATGGGGTGGTGTGTGGTGGGCATCCCACTTACCTCTGAGACTGGCTAGTGCCACCATACTACCACAATCAGAAAACTTTCCCTACTTCTCCTGTTGTTGCCTCTGCAACATTACACAGCTCCTGATGACGCACTGAGAAGTGTGAAAGTACTTGAGCTCAAGAATTCCATCACCCGTGGCTTGTCTTGCGTGCGCACGCCCACACACACACACACACACACACACACACACACACACACACACACACACACACAACATACACACACACACACACACACACACACACACACCCACACACACACATACAAAGCTGGGTAGTTCAGGCAGTGGAAATACCTCTGATTAATATTTGTATTTATCAAATGAAAAATATTCATTTACGATATATCGAAATATTTTATATTTAAGGATATTATTGTATAACTGAGTATTATATTATCACTTGATTTTTTTCATTTTCACAGTATACTGAAACTTGTCTTTTTTTTAAAGTCTGTAAACTCAGGTGTTTACCGCGAAGTAGCAGACATGGAGACTAAAGGAAGGTTTGTGAATCTGGAATATTCAGAGTTTCCCAGAAGCGTCGAGACAATGGTGAGGCCCAACCGCTTTGTGATGGTCGACGTGGACGTCAACGTCAGGAATCTTATGGGATACGACTTCTCTAAAACAGGTCTACAACAATGAGAAAACATTAACTCTCAAACTGGAATTTCTGAAACATCATCACTCATACTCACTTGTAAACTATGTAGAGAACGTAACATTTGTTTAATATCTTTTAGTAGAAATGTTATTTGTGCTCAAAAGGTAAACTACATTTAATCGATCATTCTTGATATTGATACACAGTATACAAGATAAAAATATGTAGCGCACGAGGGAGTAAAAGAAAAATAATCTGATATTTATTACAGTTTTTTTTTGTTTTGCCAATGACACTGCTTGTGCGAGAGTCAAAAGAAAGTTTGCAAAGGTCGGTGCACGAATTTAAGAGGGTGTGTAATTCAAAGGGTGTGAAGTATGGGTTTTAAACATTGCACCGAGAAGGCGGAAGGAGGCAATGTAAATATCGTGTCTGGAGAGAATGTGTACTGTGACTATTTCGCTAAAAATTCGTAGTCTTGAGATTAGAAGATGGTAGGGGGTTCTAACAGTCTTATACAGAGATTAGTAAAGAGTGTTAATAAGATGGTGTGGATATTTAGAGACTGGAACAAAAAAGAATGACTAAGAGGGTGTATAAATCTGTAATTGAGGGATAACGGGCCATGGGTCGTCCTAGGAAAGGCTGGAGGGAGGGATAAAGAATGTTTTGTATGCGAGACTAAGACATCTAACAGGAATGTGTAAACATGTTAGATTAAGAGTGGAAGCAAGTGGATATTATGACATGGCGTGCTCTTGAAGTTTAGTCGAAGTAACATTTATGAAAGGATTCAGAGAAACCAGTTAACTGTAGTCCTGGAGGTGAGAAGAACGCACGCAATCTGATGGAGGGGCATCTGAGCTGTAATGTCGGCACACCTTTGTCAAGAGAGTAATGTAGTGAGTGATGATGGTCTCACATACCACGGTCTGTGGGACATTCTTATTTATAAGTTGAAAAGTTTAGCAGGAAAACGCTGGACCTCTCAGTCTCAGGACCACGGCGCAGGCTCCCTGTCATCCTTTCCGTATATTCAGTTAATCATTCATTATGACTTGAATCGCGTTCATAGACTGTGGCTTTGAATGAGGTGAGGATATATTAATTATGAAGGTTGCTGGAGCTGTGAGAAAATACAATTGATTCTCAGACAATGACCTCTGATGTAAACATAACGCAGCAGTAATGTCCTCGGATCACGGACAACACACAGCTCTGCTGTATGCGTGATATTTGTAGGATCGATGGCTGAGTGGATAAGATAACATGTATCTTGTGTTGTCCCTTGAGTCGGGACAGTGTGTTGTGGGGTCAAACCCTGGCCTGCAGCAGTTGCATAAATAATTCAACACCACTTGTTTCATGGTTTCAATACACACACACACACTCTCTCTCTCTCTCTCTCTCTCTCTCTCTCTCTCTCTCTCTCTCTCTTTCTCTCTTTCTCTGTCTTTTTTTTTTTTTACACAGGGTTTGATAAGGTTAAGGATCTCTAGATTTATTGACAAGCTATTTACAGGTTAAGGATTCCTAACTTTATTGGCAAGCTAAGAGCTGTTACCTACATCAGCTCATTTGAAAGCATTTTTGTTATAAGACATACAGGTAGGGAACAGGATGAAGTTGGAGCCATCTGTGGGCCAGCATTTTCATTTGATCAACTGACTTTATCTCGTTGACATCATTATGCTGTACAAATGTGTTCCATACTCGAGTCAACCTGGGTATATATGATCTCAGATGGAGTGATGTTCTGGAGAAGGGTACAGCCAGAGTGAAGTTGCTGCTTTCTTCCCGTCTTGTGGCATAAAAGCTTGTTTCACATCCCTCCTATGTTGAAGGCTCTGCTGAAATGACAGATCTATCCAGGATGGGTTCAGGCGAGAGATGAGACGTCTTGCTCTGGTCTCTGCTCTGTCAAGCAGTCGCAGATGAGAGGGGGGGGGGGCAGGCAAACCAAGAAAGTGGAGCATACTCAAGGTGCGAGCGTACTTGTGCCTCGTACAGAATCTTGCAACCCGTACTGTCAAGTAGGGCGAAGTGCTGTAAGCTTCCTGGCTGCTTTGTTTGCAAGATTTACAACATGGTTCTTCATGGTTAGTTTGGAGTCAAATTTCACCCCAAGGATATCAACTTCTTCTCCAGGTGCCAACACCCTCCCATTCATCCTTACTACTGCACCAGCATTACCATCATGGTGCCTAGAGACGATCATCATTTGCGTTTTCTCAGGTGCAAATGTTACTTGCCATCTATTTCCCCAAGCTGATATAGCTCTAAGCTGGTGATTGATGTAGCTTAGAGCAGCTGGCATTTCTCTCTTGGATAAGTGAATGTCAATGTGCAGTCGTCTGCATATGCATGTGATTCTGGGATGAGATGAAGTTCGTTGAAGTAGACATTCCATAACAATGATCCCAGCACGCTTCCCTGTGGAACACTTGCCCCAATAGGATGTCTTGCTGATTCCGTTCCATTGAGAACTACACTTAGAGATCTACCATGAAGGTAATCAGTGAGGAGACATAGCGTAGAGCCTGCAATTCCCAGTGCTTGAAGTTTTGCTAAGAGGCCCTGGTGCCACACCCGGTCGAAAGCACCAGCAATGTCCAGTGCCACCACTCTCTCTCTCTGTCCCTATATATATATATATATATATATATATATATATATATATATATATATATATAAGCTGCTAGCAAATTCACTGACCTTCTGAAGAAAGTCAACGATGCTCCTTCAAACGACAGATCCTGGCACAACTTGCTGCTTTTTGGCAATGCCTGCTTGGCTGTCCCACCAAGGAGGGACAAGTCACTAGCAACAAATGTTATTAGGGCAATAAATGCATTCCCAAGGGATAACCTCGTCCGTCTCTCCCCTAGGGCGACAAACACCCGCCGGGCAAATGCCATCAGCAAGACACCCGACGCCGACAAAATCAGAGCCCAAATTAGAAAAAAAATAGAAGAGGGTAATACTATTGGAGCTCTGACGTGTACTTAGGCAGTGCTGACGTGTACTTAGCAGTGGTGACGTGTACTTAGCAGTGGTGACGTGTACTTAGCTCTGTGAAGACCTGTTTCTGTGCTCTCTGTGAATCTGAACCAGGATGCCCTCTCTTGAGCAGCTTTACCAGCAGCTGAGAGAAGAACTCAGAGTTGCTAAACTGGAGATACGGCGATTAACGGAGGAGAACAAGAGGATTCGTAGTAGTCCTCCTGTTGTGAGTCCCCAGGTTAAGAGGGGAGCTTGGTCAGTGGCCGGGCAACATGGAACCAAGCTGAAGATTAAGAAAACGGTTGGAGAGGCAGAAACAACGAGAAACCAGAAGACTGCCGTGGAAACTTCACTCATTCTCGGTGCTACCTGACGAATGTGAGTGTTCTACTGGGAATGCCACAACGAGCACCGAGGAAGCATTGGCAGACGTGAGTGAGACATCCCTAGAAACCCCAACGAAGACCATCGAGAACGTCATGACGAATTCTACAAGTGGTGTAATGCTACCTGGCGAATGTGAGTCGACTACTCGGAGCATCACTACGGACGACGCCAAGGAAGGTAAAAACATTGTTGTTGTTGGGGATAGCCAGATTAGGTACCTGGATAGGGCATTCTGTTTGAAGGATAGGAGTAGGAGGCAGAGAATGTGTTTTCCTGGGGCTGGGATGAAGGATATTGTTAGCCGTCTGGATGACATCATGAGAGGTAATGGGAGCAATCCTATTATCTGTCTCAGTGCTGGAGGCAACGATGTTGGCAGACGTAGGAGTGAGGACCTGATTAGCAGGTATAGGTCAGCAATAGAGATAATTAGGAAGAAGGGTGGGAAACCTGTCATATGTGGCATTTTGCCAAGGAGAGGAGTTGGAAATACTGTAAGGAAAATGCGGTAACGTTCATTGACAACTGGGACCTCTTCTTTGGCAGAAATGACATGTATGCCAGGGATGGGGTTCACTTGTCTAGGTGTGGGGTGGGAGCACTGGCCAACGCAGTGGAGGGAGCTGTTAGGTCTTTAAACTAGGAATAGTTAGTGGTATGGGTTTTGGCGGGAAAACTGTGAAGTCGCAGGGTAGTAACATGAGTACTAGGAGAACTAGTAATAGGCAAAATGAGGAGGATATTGGAAAGCCAGTGGCACTAATTGACAATGACAGTAATAGGTTTAGTGGAATAACAGAAAGGAGCAGGAAGGGTAAAGAGATAGGAGGGTCATTAAATATTTATTACACAAATAGTCGCAGTGCTAGGAATAAGATGGACGAGTTGAGACTAGTTGCTAGTGCAGGTAACATAGATGTATTTGCCATTACTGAGACGTGGTTTAATTCAAAAAGTCGGGACATGCCTGCAGAATGTCACATTCAGGGTTTTAAATTGTTCCAAGTAGATAGAAGTATCGGAAGGGGGGGGGTGCATTGTATGTCCGAGATCGCTTGAACTGTTGCATAAAAACGGGTATTAAGTCTGAAGTAACACATACAGAGTCTGTTTGGATAGAATTTTCAGAGGGGCATGAAAAATTAATTTTAGGTGTGATATACCGTCCCCCAAATTTAGATAGGGACCAGGGAGACTACTATGGGAGGAAATTGTTAGGGCCACAAGGCACGATAATGTAGTAATTCTAGGAGACTTTAAATTTAGTCATATTGATTGGAATTTCTTGACTGGGAATTTAGAATCATACGATTTCTTAGAAGTAGTTCAGGATTGTTTTTTGAAGCAGTTTGTGACAGAACCTACAAGGGGTAATAACCTGCTTGACTTGGTTCTGGCAAACAATGAATCCCTTGTTAATAATTTAGAAGTTTCAGAGGAACTGGGTGCTAGCGACCACAAATCAATTACATTTAGAATTGAATGGAAGTATGATAGTAGGGATAACTCAGTAACAGTCCCAGATTTTCGCTTAGCAGATTACGATGGGCTTAGAGAACACTTATCATCTGTTGACTGGGGTAACGAAGAGAGCTATCAATATGACAGTTTTCTGAACACAATACATGCTGCTCAAAGAACGTTTGTCCCTTATAAGGAAATTAGATCAAATAGAAATGACCCAAAATGGATGAATAATAGGCTGAAATATCTACTAGGGCATAAGAAAGGAATTTATAGGCGTATCAAAAAGGCGAGGGTCATCTATGAATCA